GTGAAACTCGAGGGAACGAAACAGGTGTGGTGGCCGCCAGGTATTATTAATCACATAGACCAGCGATAGTCAGTAGAGAAGTACGAGGCGAGCTGTGTACGAAACTTGAAATTCAAAGTAAGGAAAACATAAGTGATTTTAATTTTAATATATTTTACTTAACCCGTTATGTCCAAGATGCCGTTTTAATTTGTAATAAAAAAATTCGAACGAGAGATTGTACACTCTTTTGTTCGTACTAAGCTTTTCAGATCTGGTGTCTGAAACTTACAGCTCATCTTTCGGACTAGCCACATTTTAAGGCCTCAGTAGTCTCAGTGGAGAGAGGCTGCCCTATTGGAGTGCAGACATAGACTCTAGGAAGAGTTCTTGCTCCAGGAAAGGGAATCCTGGAAGTCAGTCGGTCTCCAGGCTAGCTTCTGGTCTTTCCTTTTGCGTGTTTTTAGAATATCTTGTAAAGAGAGTGAAAACATTTTCCCTACAAGTCAAAAGTAGATAAGGACGCTTGTCTTGGTCATTAACTTCTCTAAGATCATACCCTGGCCCTTATAACACATTTCCCCTTCCTTTCTCAAGTATTTTGCAAAGCCTTGAAGAAGGTAGTTTTTTGGAGGGAAAAGGTACATCAATTTGAGGAATTGGTGCCTGTCATAAGGAAGCACACACTTTATATATAGGGAAAAGAAATTTTAAAATCTTATAATGCAGCACACCTGTGAGCATGAATGACCACAATGCAAAAAAATAAAAATAAAGGTTAAGTGGAAGAAGAATGAAGAAACACTCCGAGTTGTGCGTCTGTATTTCAGTTTTGTATACATAGTGGTCCTTGCAAGCAAGGGAAGCATAGAGACACTCTTAGTATAAGCTTTTTGGGAGAAGACTTTTATTGTGCAATGATCTTAGAGTTTGCCCCTCTCTAGGAAGTGCTAAGGTAAACTGCCAAGGGAATTGACTTGTGTTTTATTTTAAATAAGAGAGCAAATAAAAAGCAGAGGCTTTAATTATGTTGGCTTACCTCTATCTAAAACCACATAATCTAGTATCAGATTTTCTAAAATATATACATGTAAAATTGTGCCAGTACTACAAAGACAATTTGTATTCTTAGGTAATCCTCGAACACCTATAAAGTAAATATTTTACTTTATAAAATTTTAAAGTGTGAAAGATGTACTTTATATCATAATTATGCATTATTTAATTTATTCTTATTTTCAATTATACAAAATGTACCAAATACATCCTCATTGTAAAAAATAGCATAAAGCAAAATCTTTCAATTTCCCTTCCCCATCCCTCTTTTTTTCTTGCAAATAACTTACTATTTTGGAGGATACTTAGAGGGTATAATCCTTCTACACCCTTCTTTATGGCTTTACATCTCTCTGGTTTTTTGTTTTGTTTTAAACATTAATAGTGTCATGCTGATGTATTATTAGCAACCTGCTCCTCCCACTTTTTTTTTTTTTTTCACACCAAATATGCTTATTTGTCAATATTATGTACACACATACCTCATTCTTTTTAAGTACTGCATGGTATAGATATATTGAATATTTAACCATTCTCCTAATTTTGAATTTAAATTTTGTTATTTTCCCCTCAATATTTCATAATTTCAAACAGGGCTAAAACAAACATTCCTCGTACATCCTCTTTATGTTTTTATGAGAATAACCCTTTAGGGTACATTGCTAGAATTGAAATTGTTAGGTAATAGGGAATGTGCATTTAAAATTTTAGTGGTACTACCAAATTCCTTTAGTGTTTTATTTTTTTAATGTATTAACATTTTTAACCTTACAGACAAAAAAATAGACTAGTACAGTGAACAGCCATATGTCCATCACCAAATTTAACAGTTATCAAAAATTTGTTACACTTATTTTCATGCAAATTCCTGATGTCATGTCATTTCATCCTACATACTTCAGTATACATCTCTAAAAAATACAGTCCTTTATAAAGTAGACATTAATTTCACTTTAAGCTCAGATNTGTCATGTCATTTCATCCTACATACTTCAGTATACATCTCTAAAAAATACAGTCCTTTATAAACGTTTTTCTTCTTGTTGACGATGATATTCACTTCGTATTTAGTACTTATACTCTTGAGATTCAACTGAGCCCAAATTTGTTAGCTTTTATTATTTTTTAAGAAGTACATGTTTTTGTTTAAAAGAACATTTTAAAAATGTGGATCAAATTATCTCATAGGTAGCATAATGGCTACCAGCGAAAATGTAGGTAGAATTAATTGAGGTGGAATCTTCATTGAAAATAAGTATACTAATAGACTAGTCTGCTACTTTTTTTATACTTTCACAAATCTGAAATTACGTTGCCAAAATATTTAAATTCAGTACTTAAAGGTATTTTTAGTGACCTGATTGTTGTGAATTTATTGCAGACTTTTGAATCAGCTATGCAGGAGAATGTCAGTATAAATGGGCAGGCATGGCAAGAAGCTTCAGATGATTGTTTCAGGGGTAAGTGACTTAACTTTTTTCTTCTGTTACTAATTTCTGAGTTATTTTTGTAGCTATTTTATTTTATTTATTTATTTTTTTAATATATCTTTATTGATTTCAGAGAGAGGAAAGGAGAGGGAGAGACAGAGATAGAAACATCAATGATGAGAGAGTCATTGATTGGCTGCCTCCTGCACGCCCCCCAACTGGGGATTGAGCCCACAACCTGGGCATGTACCCTGACCGGGAATCAAACCCCGATCGCCTGGATCCTAGGTTGATGCTCAACTGCTGAGCCACGCCCGGCCAGGCTGTAGCTATTTTATTTTGAATGCTAATTTTTAATCCTCATTTTCAGTGTTATTTCTCTTTAAAATTTTTTTAATGAGGTGTGGGGAGAGAAAACTAAAAGACTATTGAAGTTTTAATCTGAGGTAAACAACATAGTAGGTACCTTGGTCTTTATATTTTCTGTCTGGCATTCTCAATGAGACTTCCATGTGATTAATCTTCAAAAGTACCCTTGTCAATAGTTTATTGGAAAATACTGTGGAACTATCCCCAGATGAAGAAACAGGCCCAGAAAGTTCCTATGATTAATACCTTATGAATCAAGTTGTATTTTTACAAGTGATCCTTAGAGTAGATACTGAAGTACCCTTAGGACTGTGAAGTTAAACTATAAGAGTACCATATCAAGGATGAGATCAGTATTTGGAGAAACCTCCTTAAAAAGACAATATTTTCCTGGTCCAAAGCAGACTTGATTGTACCCTAACTAATGTTATTGATATATCTAAAGAAATCAAGTTTTAGTAGAAAGAAAATATTCAGTGTAGGAAGGAAAAAATTCAGTAGAAAAATAATGACCTGTGTGGGAAAAGAAGCAGAATTCTTTAGCAGTGTCCTGGAAAAAGTTCTCTCCTGACAAGAGGACTAGTGTGTTTTGTCTGTACCCATAGTGATATTACAAAGATCTGACCAGTATAGCTTGATACCACTGTTAACTGTTCTGATTATTCATATACCCTTGAGTTGATTCCAAACCCATCAAATAAACCCTCTGTGGTTATAATTTTTCTTCTCAACATTGAGATAATACTTCGCCCAGAAGACTTCACTGTCTAATCCTTGGGATTATTACGGTATAGTAGTTATCTCTTCAAAGTTACCAAATTGTAGTTTCTGGTCTACATATTAAAACATTAAAAACAATAGCATTGGATTTCTCAGATATTATTGGGGGAGAGGGAGTGCATCAGAACCACCTAGGAGTATTTTCAAACTACACAGCCATTACTATGTCTTTATCTAACTCTTTTTCTCTGAGGTCACTTTGGAATTGCTTTATTGTTTGGTACAGATGGCCTTTAGCAATAGGATTAATCAGTTTCTAGATTAGCACATATATTTCCTGGCAGGTTGGTAGCTTGGGTGGAGTATGTATATTCTTTGTTCCCTTTTCCCCTTATAACTGTGAAGGAAAATAGTTATAACACTTGTACCTTTTTTCATGGGCACTTGGTAAATGCCATACACTATGCCAAATACTGGGAAATAGATGCAAAGACATGTCCTTACCATTTAGGAACTCGTTAATGGAAGGAAATGGAAAGGAATCACCATACTCTTTGGGAAGTGATAGACATAACAGAGTAGGTTGTTAAATGCATGTAATAAATGAGAGTGTGCTAGACAGGAAGTAGGAAGGACATTTAAAGTAAAGAAAACAGCATGTGCAAAGGCACAAAGGAGTACTATGTTTGAAAATGTCAGAAGTGAGTTGGGGAAAACTAAGGGCAGATATGGCCAGAAAGATAATACGGGGCCAGATCACAGAACCCTGTAGGATGTGATAAAGCATTTGTACTTTATCTTGTAGGTAATGGGGAACCAGTGGCGGTTTTTAAAGTAGAACTTACATGAAAGATTTGTGTTTTGGCAAGCTAGCTGCTGGCTCTGTGGGAATGAATTGGAGAAGGGAAGAATTGAAAGCAGGCAGACCTTAGGGAGGTTATGGCGGTAGTACAGCAAAAGATGATGCAGACCTGCCTTATGACAGTGGGAAAGGAGAGAAGAAAAAGGTGCAAGAGATGTTCAGCAGGTAGAATTAATAGGATTTATATCTGATCCTGGTACAGAGAGGCAATAAGTAAGCCTCACAAGAGCAGAGGTTTTGTCTGTTTTATTCACTGAGATCATTGTACAAATGAGTGAACGAATGAACGAATATACGAATATACATATAAGTGAAACCAACTTCCTCTCTGCCCCTTGAGTACCCTGAATGGACTTGATTTTAGGATGATTGACCAGACACATTTAAAAATTAAAATGTAAGTTCCTTGAGAGCAGGAACTATATATTTTTTCTCATCACTGTGTTTTCAACACTTAGCTTGACACATACTAGGCACCCACTAAATATTTGTTAAATTAATGACTAAGTCTTCCCTGCTCAAATTGTTTATACATTTCACTTTTATAGCTTTAGCATTAGGTGGCCCCAAGAAACCACTTTCCTTCTGACATAGGAGATTTAGCTGGGAGACTTGATCCCCCTCCCCCCCCCAAACTGATTGTGAAATAGCACACTCTTTCAGGTTAGTGGTTGAACTTATCAAATGGATAAATTAAAATTTAGGGAGGGCTGCTCATTTAAGTGACTTTTCAAAGTAAGAACTGACTTTTTAAAAGAAGTAATTTAGTTGGGCTTAATATTTGTTACATAAATGAAAGGTCATATCCAATGTACCTCAATTATCTTTACCCAATATGTAAATATATGCTGATATGTATCAGCAATGTCTCAAAATGTTTCCAAAAAATATATATCATACTTCTCCCTAATGAAGCTTATACTCTAAATAGATCCATTTCTAGCATAGACTTTGACACAGCAGAACACATGCTATCGGACCAGTTAAGCTCTTTAGTATTTAAATTTTTTTTTTTTTAGTTTATTGATTTTAGAGAGAGAGGAAGGGAGAGAGAGAAACACCAGTTTGTTCCTCCACCCATTTATGCATTCATTGGTTGCTTGTATGTGTCCTGACCTGAAATCAAACCCACAACCTTGGCATATCAAGACTGTGCTTTAACCAACTGAACTACCTAGCCAGGGCCTCTTTAGCATTTTTTTTTAAACATGTTTTTATTGATTTTAGAGGGAGAGGGAGAGAGAGAAACATCAATCAACTGCCTCCTGCACGCCCACTACTGGGGAACGAGCCCGAAACCCAGGAGTGTGCCCTGACCTGGAATCAGCTGGCACCCTCTTGGTGCATGGGACGACGCTAAATAAAGTCACTGTATCTTTTACTTTTTCCTACTATTTATCCAGTTGTGCCTATTTCATATCTAGCTACTCCACTCACTGCTACTGTCACACCTTTGGTTCATCACATAAAAAAGTCAACTTCTTAGTGTCCCTAACATTAAATTCCCTTTACAGTCTAGTCCTTTTATCACCCTTCTTTCCTTATACTTCATCCTCCAGCCATTTAGAACTTTTTCTGTTTCCCAAAGACTCTGTGATCTTGCAGATACTGTTTCCTCTGCCTGAAATCCTTCCCCTATTATTTTTTCTTACCTCTTTTTATCCAGTGGATTTACACTTACATTCCAAGGCCCAGCTCAAATGTTAAGACTTTCTTTTTAAAGTCTTAAATTCCATAGGCAGAGTTAGTGTTCCATTGTTCTATATCCTGGTAGCATTTTGTTCAGACCTCTGTTGCATTTATCAGGTTGCTTTGCAGTTATCTGTCTGCTTCTTCCGGTGAACCGTGAGCTATCTTAGAAAGCAGGGGTCATGTATATTCATCTTTGTATTTCTCTGATTAATCATTTGTTCAGTGCATGGATCAATCACCAAAGTGAGGGCATCCATTAATTTGTCATAATTGGTTTCCTTAATTATTTTGTATTTTCTAAATTTAGTTTATTTACATTACATTTCTATGTAGAATATAAACAGTGTGTTTTAAGGAATTTTTAAAATATTTTTTTTCTCTTGAAATAGATTCTGATATCAAAGAACTTGAAGATCAGTTTGATGAAGTCATAGTAGATTTAGCCACAAAACGTAAGCAGTATCCCAGAAAGATCCTTGAATGTGTCATAAAAATTATAAAAGCAAAACAAGAAATTCTGGTAAGATGATTTACCTTCAAAATAGTAAAGCTTATGTCTGTTTTACTACAATGAAAAAATTAATGTATAAGATCCATGTAGAGATAAATGGCATTTTGGGGTTTGTTTGTTTGTTTGTTTTTTCATTTTTCCGGCCTCAATTACTACTGTTTGTCTCTTGAAGATTTTTTCCTGTGCTCACATACTAACATAGACTTTGAAGATGGAGGACTGACAATGGCTTTATAATCCTGAGGCCAGGAAGAAAAAAAAAGAGATTTATTTTTTAAGGCTTTTCTTTCTTTCTTTGTTATTTGTATATGATTATTTATAAACGATTATATATTTTGGAAGATGCTTCAGTTAAATTCATGGTGAAGACTGAGTACCTGTTCATAATACTGAAATTTGCTTTATGAGTTGTGTGTAATTTGTTTAGCTCCCCAAATCATGATGGGTCGAGAGTAGGTGTGCTGGGAGTGGCTTTGCCTCTGCAGCTAGAAATACATGTTGTTTTACATTGTGATATACTGTTCTTAGTTTTTGAAATGAGCATACTTTACATATAAATCTTTGATTGCTTTCCTTTCAGGAATTGTTTTAGACAGTAAAAGCAGGTACTTTATCTAAAATATTTTAGTCATTCTGAGAAAAAATACTTATGAGCAGAATTTTTCTTATTTTCTTCTGTAGCACTTATTCTTCAGAGAAATACCCTATTTCATTTCCCTACCCCCTTTTTAAAATTTTCTTATGAAAGACATTCAAAATGTGTTTATATTTTAGTGTCTCCCTTCCTGTTAACTATCCCTCCCTCCCTGAAGAAAACCTAGTAATCAGTATTGCATAAAAGAAAGAAGGTTGGCATGCCTAGGTGGGGCACTGCTGTGGAAGTTTAAAAAGTGATGCAGATGGATGGGGTGAAGGTACTATAAAAACAGCTTTTCCCCCTCTCCCTCTCTCTTGCTCAATCCTTCTACCACCACCACCCCCAGTCCCTCCAAGACAGCTTTTTAAAAAACCTTTTTGTCTCTTGCTACTTTGGACAGGAGTAAGAAGGAACATTTTCCTCTTTCTTTTTGCCTGAATTGTGGATCCTGTTCTTATAACTCTGCTACTATAGTCCCAGTGTGTCACAGGATACGTAGGCTTTAATGTGCTGACTTAGCAGTGGCAGCCACTTTCTAAAAAACAGTTTCTGTGGGAATATGAGTTCTCAGTTCCAAACACGTCTTAAAATGAACTTTTGAAAAACAGTTTATTCATAATTTGGAGACTACCTAGTACTTGAGACACAGGATTTAGTCTCTGTCCCTTTAATATGCTTGATTGCTTTCCTTAAGATTTTTGACGGTGCAGTTTCTTAGTGCATGCAGTAGGTGGCAATACTATAAAAGGTATAGTGCAGACTTAGATTAATCTTTTCTTTTCCTCCCCTTTCCCTAAGATTGCATGATTTAATTTTTGTGTTTTGTTTTTGTTTTCAAAAGAATAATACTACTGACTAATAGTGTATTTGCTTACATTAGCTGAAGAAAATGTTTATATGAGTCATTAAGCGGTGAAATTAAATCTGTTTTAATTTATATTATATTTAGAAGGAATACCACCCTGTTGTACACCCATTGGACCTAAAATATGACCCTGATCCAGGTGAGTCTATTTCTTTGTGGTAAAAATGCAGCATCAGCTTGTAATTTTTATGGGTTCCTGATACTCTTAAAGGTGTCAGTATCAAGGATGTCTTCTCTTTGGTGCTGTAATTCACTCCCAGTCATCCATGTTTAGCTCTTCACTAAGGATCATGGGAACTTGCTCTAAATCTACTGACTAGAATCTCTAGGAGTAGGGCCCAGGAATCAGGAGCTTTCTCCTGACCTAGTCTATTATAACACCTTTCCAGTCTCCAACTTCTGTTATGTTTCTCTCCCACCTCTAACTGCTATTACACTGTCTATTCTTTGCATCGCAGCCAGAGTTACACTATTGAGTGCTCATGGTGTTACTCCCAGTGTCGTGACCTTCACTGGCTTTTTTCATCCTTTACCAAATGAAATCCACTAAAAATACAATGTTGAACTTAAAGAGAGATATACACACTTGTTATGCCTTTCAATTCACTTCTGTTTCCATTTAAATCCATCCTCTAAAACAGAGGTATCAAATTGATACAAAGTTCTGTAAATCTAGAAACAGAACTGGCATTGCTCAAAATGTGGTTCATAAATATTTTTAAATGGCTCTATTCTCACATTTAAAAACTTACAATTTTCCTAAGAAACCTTTTGGGACTTACTTTTGATACTCTAAAGNGTTCATAAATATTTTTAAATGGCTCTATTCTCACATTTAAAAACTTACAACAATTTTCCTAAGAAACCTTTTGGGACTTACTTTTGATACTCTAAAATACTGTTTCTGAGCTATTAGAAGAATGGTTAAGACCTCGATTTATTTGTAAGGGATATTTATATTCATGGTTTTCTATTCATGGTTTTGAGTACTTTACCTTTGTTGAATTCCAAACTACTTCCTAATAGGTCCCCCTGCTCTCCCCAAATTTCCCAAGCTAATGAAATAAACTGAGAGGGGTAAGTACAGCATAAAGATACTCTGAAATTGCTAAAAATCACAGCATTCACTGTGTTTAAAATAAAAATTGACTTAGGACCTAATGCTTTATTGTCATGGTTCACCAAAAAGGGATAGTTGCCAAAATGCAGTGGTTGAAATATACTTGTTTTGGTTTTGAGCAACATAAAAATAAGAATTGAAACTTGTGGTATCATAATATACTCAAGTATTATGACTTTTTAGATACAGTTAATTCTCCTGTAAAGGAACTTGGTGACCTTTTTATCTTAGGAAGGAAAACAAATTTGCTTTAATGATCCCTTGAAGGTCTACATGATTTTATTCCTACTATTCCAGTTATGTAGTATTAGAAAAATCTCTGTATCATTCTGACTTCAGAAGTAAGCAAAGGAATAATCAGAATCTGTCTTCTAGATAAATTTTGAGGAGGTTTTTGTCATTATACATTTTCATATTGTTTATAAGCTTAGAATAGCATGAGTTCTTTAAGCACAGCAAAATTAACTTACAGTTTCATTAGCTCTACATCCTTGGACAAGTCACTTCAAGCATTAGTATCTTTATGACGAATTCTAGATATGGAACCTGATGCTTTAGGTTTGAATATCAACTCTATCACTAAATATTACAGAAATGTCCTGTTATTTGAGATTGTGTTATGAATCATGTGAAATAAGGGGCTCTATAAACTGTAACTAAAATACCTGAGCAGTATTTGATAAGGAGATGCTATGAAATAATAACCCTATTATAAATTTTTTCCCATTTACAATGGTGTGTCTTATAATACTGTATAGCTTATAATGCATCTATCTTGTAAAATCATATGCAATTAACTAAAATGGCTTAAGAGGTATGTGGAAAGCAAAAATTTATATGAAACCTAAAAATCTAAATAAGTTGCATGAGAAAATTTATTGGAAGTTCTTGAAAGTTTCTTTTATTAGATTAAGTGATATCAAATGTTTTTGAAAGCTGACACTTTTAAAGAAGGTTGTCTGGTTTTCAGAACAATACAGTCATCCCTCGGTATCTGGGACAGGGATTGGTTCCAGGTCCCCCCACAGATATCAAAATCCACAGATGCTTAAGTCCTTTATATAAAATAGCATAGTATTTGCATATAATCTACTCACATTTTCCTGTATAATTTAAATTATTTTTAAATTATTTATACCTAATACAATGTAAATTCTGTGTAAGTAGTTGTTATACTGTATTGTTTAGGGAGTAATGATGAGAAACAAAGCTCAGTACAGACGCAACCATCATAGGCCTAACTATATCATACATGTCAGCAACAACGTAGCTTTTTTTTTTTTCTCTCAAATATTTTCAGTCCACTGGTTGAATCCATGGATGTAGAATCCATAGATACAGAGGACCAAACTGTACATAGTGTGTATAACGTTGATTTGGCATAGTTAAGTTAGGAACTTTAGGAAATACAGACAAAGGTAAAGCAGACAGATTCTCCACATAAAAAACTAATGTCTGAGTGGAAGAAATAAGAGATGAACTTAAAATAGGATTCTGTCATGCCCTTTAACTGGTTCCTTTCCCAGTTTCCTCTGTCTGATAAAATGGCACCTTCATGTTCATACAGCTTTAGCCAGAAGTCAACCTTGAGCTTTCCCTCTCCTGAGCCCCTCATATCCAGTTCATCAGTAAATTCTACGAATTGTGCCTTTGAAATATAATCTCACTTTAATCTACTTCATCTCATTATTATCACCTCTAGTCTAGGTCACCATTATTCTAGCCAGGATTTCTACACACGCTTTCTAGAAGGGCTTTCTATTTCAACTTGTTCTCTTCCATTCCACTGTATAGACATCAGGCACAGTCGATTTTTAAAAAACTATTTCTAGAGGTTTATCTGGTTTCAGTTAGATTCCTTTAAATGTAGGTAATTCATTTGCAAGTAATGATGGGATTTGTCTTTTTTCTAACTTTACACATTTGTGTGTGTGTGTGTGTGTGTGTGTGTGAGAGAGAGAGAGAGACTACATTGACTAGAATCTCTAGTATAATATTGAATAGTAGTGGTGATTAGTGGTAATGTTTTAAAATTATGAAAAATGTTTAATTTTATTGAATACTTTGTATCAACTAGGATCATCAATTTGTTTAGCCAACTTTATTGAGGTATAATTTACATATAATAAAATACATCAATTTTAAGTGTGCAGTTTGAGTTTTGACAAATGCATACAACAATGTAACCATCACCACAGTTTAGACATAGAACATTTTCCATCACTCATAAAGTTCCCTTGTGTCTAGATTACTTGCTCTTTTACTCTAACTCTGATAGTATGGTGAATTAACAAATAACTGATACGTTTTTTTCTAATGGTTATCTTTGCATTCATAGAGAAAACCTCAGTTTCTCATTAATATATTTTTCTTTTCATATACTGTTGAATTAAGATTTTCTGTACTTTTTATTTAGTGTATCTGTTGAATATTTGCATCAATAGTCTCTCTCACACACACACAAAATGAACATGTGGTGTTTTAAAACGTACTGTCCCTTTTCAATTTTGTCATCAAGGCTATACCACCCTCATAAAACAGTTTGTAGACTTAGAGGTTATTTGTCTTTTGAAGAGGGGATAAGATTCATTCATAAAACCATTTAAGTGTAGTGTACATGTATGCGTGGGGGGGGGGCTGATATTTGACTTAATTGATTTAGTATACTTTTCTTTTTTTCTGGTTCATAGAAATATTAATTTTGTATATGCTTTGGGATATGCTTTTTAAATTTTTTGTATTTGTCCAATAATGTTTTGGACAAAGATTGGAAGTTTGTGAACTTCCAAGCCAACTTCACTAGAAGTCTAAGATACTTTTAAAAACACAAATCAGCTTTCATTCCTCTGCTTAAAATCCTAAAATCTCGCAATTTTAAAATATATAATAAACTTCAAACTTGTTAGCATTCCCTAACACGATCTAGCTCCCACCTACCTCTCCAAATTCATTTCAGACACTTTCATTTTTGCTCTAACCACCCTATTTAAAATAGCCTCTCCTCAGTTCTCTATCATAACACTGTTTCCTTAATAGCATTTGTTACAATATCTAAGTATTTGTGTGTTCCCTTGCTTTTGGTCTCTCACAAAACTGAAAGGTCCATGAGCTTTCCTACTTCAGTTTGCATTTAGCACTGTGCTCAGGAATGACCATTATTTATCCACACATTCAATATATTCACTGAGTGTCTACTAAATGCCAGGATTTTTCTCAGTGTGCAGGATATATTGGTAGCCAACACAGACAAGGTCCTTTCTCTATGGATTGTACATTCTTGTGGGAGCAGGAGAGTATAAACAAATCTAAAAATAAATAACATCAGTGTTAGGGTGATGTGTTTAGATGTGGGAAACACTTTTGTGAGGAAGTAACAAGAAGGAATTTATCTTGTGACAAGAGGAAGAGCTTTTCAATTAGAAGAGCTAGGACAAGGTTCCTAAGTCAAGAATGGGCTTGAATATTTGTGGAACAAAAGACCACTGAGGCTGCAGTGGAGGGAGTAGAGGGAAAGAGCATTACAGGATAAGGTGAGGACTTGACTGAGGCCAGATAACACAGCTAGGAGTTTGAAAGTCTATGGTGCCTTGAGAGAGATACAGCTCTTCAGTCCTGAAGGAGTTGATGAGGTGCAGGTGGGAGTGAATGCAGAGGATTACATACCTGCTACCTGTTTAAGTTGTAGTGTAGGGTTATCTTCCAGAAAGTCATAAATCACTGCTCAGTTTTTGGTTTCTTTTTTACTGGGGATGCTGCTTTACTATTCATGGTTCTTATGCGTGTATTACTCCTTTAGAACCAGTACCAGCCAGACATTCTGTGTTACACATGCTCGTTCATTCATGCTCATAAAATACATTGGAAATAGAAAGGAAGCACTTAATTAATGCCTTTCTGATGAATTTTTGAATTTGTGCAGGCTTTTGGAAGTTTGTTTCCTAGTTTAGTCGGTGCAGTGACCTGAAAGCAAAACTAGGTTGATTACTCAATCTTTCATTTCCGCTTTTTCATTTCCCTATGTTTTGGAAAGCCAGTGACTAGGGAAGGCATTGTCCTCAAGGGTACCTAACTTCCACATTTTGAAGAGCAAACTTGTTTTTAATATCCTTGCATCAACCTTCTGATTAGCTGTCGACCAGTAAGATGAGTTTTCATAATCTTTTGTGATCCTACTAATAAAACTAATAATTGCTCCCATATTGTCTTCTTTTTCAAAATGTTCTTTGAAGTTAATTGAAGAGACTTTTTTTTCCCCCCTTGTCCTTCACTAAACATGTGATGACAAGGAACTATTTTAAGTTTCTCTACACTAGACTTGATGAGACTTCAGTTCTTTTGCTGACCCTACAAGCTGAGGACTTAAGAGCCAGTTCCTCTTCTTGCCTAATAATGTCAGCTTGCTTATGCTACTGCCGGTATTTTTACAGGTAGCCACCACTTACAAATTGTTATGTTTTAAGAATTCATATTTAATCTGAGCTTTGGAATTTGAAATGCATTTTACCCTGAAAAACATTTACAAATGGTATTATAAATAGGTAAGTTTCTGGGCTTCTCTTTAAAGACCTGTTTAACCTGTAATGTAGCTGAACTACTACACACTTATGATGAAAAATATTAGGAAAATCCCATTTCTGGTGCACATTAGTTCTACTACATGTTGTATAAATAGGGTTTGGGAGAATAGTTTGGATCCCAATAGTTACGTGTTTAGGGAAACACCTTTGTTTATGATGCGAGAGTAAATAGTGGTGCCATGAAGATGTTTCCATGGAGGCTGTGGAGAGAAAGCCACTGGGAATGTGTCTGGAGGAAGGGCCTCTCCATCTGCTGCAGGACAGCAAGCAGCCCTCGGCATGGGAGACAGTCTTAAGTCAAATGTATATGTATCAGGAGTATCTATGTGCTCTATTACAAAATAATCTTGAGAGAGTTAGTGAATAGTTGATATATTTTGAAATTTCCTAAGCAGATATTAATATTGGAAAATGCTTTTCTGATGCATTTACAGGTAGCACAGTCATATTTAGTGATCATTTTTGTGTTTTTCTCCTCTTCGTATGTTTCTTAAAAATCTTTGTGTGTTTGGTTTTATTCTTAAAATTATTGACTCATTTTAGTTTTTAATTAAAGAAATTTAATTCCCTTAATAGTTAAAATGATTTAACTATAGCATTGTTCTATTTTTAATTTTTTACTAGGGGTAATATATTTTTATTTCAAGAGGTTTTCATTATGTTGGAGCTAGTTTTTTACCACTTTTAGATTTTATTCTTAGGAGTATAGTATGATTTTTGGCAAAGTGATATTTTGGAAAGTTACGTGTGTAATATAGAAGAGCACGTGTCTTGGATTCTAGGAAGTATGATTCCACTTCTCGTCGAAGCTGGGTACATTTTCAGCCCCCTTATCTGTGAAGGGAGGCTGATGAACCCTGCTTGCTCCACAGGGTTGCTCAAGTATTGCATGCAATCGATTGGCGATGCATGCTAGCTCCCACTGCTGTAGGATGGCTGTCAGGGTCAGGTAGGGAACGTTTCATGCCGTTGTCTTTTCTCTTGCTTGAACTCTCGTTTTCTTTTTGCAACCAAGTCTCTCAAAAGAATAATCTACACTCATTAGCTTCACTTTTAATCTCTCACTTTGTCAAAAAAACAGTAGTATTTGGTATTAATATTTGTAATAACAATTGCTGTAGTTTTCTGTTTGCTGTGTTTCCTGCTATGTCTCTCAGTAATTCTTTCCCACACACTCCAGTAGAACTGTGAAATTCCTCTCACCGTGGTAAACACTAGGCTGTCCATCAAGCCCAAGTGTAAACCCTTTCCTCTTTCTTGAGAGACTCCTGGGAGCCTTTGTCTTCTGTCTGATCTGGACTGTTGCTCTCTAGGCCCAGTGCAAAGCTTACATCCTGCCTGTTCCTTCCTCATCGCCCTGGGAATTTCCTTTCCTCCTCTGCTGTTTTGAGTCATGTTTCCTGGCTCCTGTATTTTCTTCGTCTTGATTTATTCCCTTGTTTTGGTGTAGCGCTTCCTCTGCCCTACAGCCCCCAGCCCCAGCCCCAGCGCCTTCTAAGGCAGCTCTCAATACCTGTGAAACTTTTCCTCTCCTTTCAGTTCCCCTGTGGGATTGACCTCCCCCTCTTTGCGCCTCCACAGCACCCTCTACCATAGCCTCGTCCATCACAGTATCCAGCCCCTGCTGTGCGTGTCAGACATTGTTCAACACTGGGAGTCTGAGGTTAAGAGTATGAAGTTCTTGTTCCCAAGTGAGTCCTGAAATAAAAACACCTTGGTTCTCACTGGATGCAGTACTGCCCCCTAGTGGCCCTTTTGAAAAAGTGGGGGTTGAAAAGTTTTTGGTTAACCACAGTAAAGGGAGGCTACAGCTGGAATTTTGTAGTCAGGAGACAGGAATACTGAATGTCTTCTATGCCCAGCACAACTTTAGAATATTCCACCAGACATTCATGTGTGAAAATATGTTTATAATTATACAAGCCTGGGCCTGACTCCTTTTTACACACAAACCCAAACTACTATTGGCACTTTTTACATTGTCATTGCTTGTGCAACAGGTGGAGAACAGCTATTGTTGTCCATCAGTGTGCGTTTATAGATAATTTTTTTTTAAAAAGAACATGTTTATAAAAAATTAAGGATACCTTGGATGATAGATTGTTTTGTAAACTGTGCGGTAACAATGAAGAAGAATATGATTACCTTGCCTTATACATAAAAGTAAGACAACTTTCTAGAGTAAATATTAAAAAAGATTTTGTTCATTATTGTGTGTATGCGTGTATATATTAGGGTGTAACATACAGTGCACAGCTTAATGACTTTATACCCACACATACACATAAACACATGTAACTCCACCTGGCTCTAGATATGTGGAGTGTCTGCATAGTTGGGAAACATAGAATAAACTTATTTTTAAACAGTATGTTAGCTATAATTTCAAATAATATGCCCATTGTGTTTTCATGGGTACAATAAATACAATTCTTACAGGGGACTATGGGCTTGGATAGGAAAAAAATTACACTGCTATTTTTACTAACCTCAAACTGAAATTTAGCATTTCCTGTCCATTTTGAATGCAGGAAGTGGTGGTAGTACTAGCAGTACCTGTAACTTTCTTTGCTACTAGAAGCCACAGATATTTTCAATTTCAGTTGTTGCAAATACCTCAAATATTGTTTATACTCATTATTTTCATATTATGATAATTAGACCTGCCACTCGATGTTGTAATTTAAATCATTAATAAAGGGACACATATTACCTATACAATTTTTAAACATATTTTTAAATTTTAAAACATTCTGAAATTCTAGAGTAAGCAAAACTAATGTATAATGATAGAAATCACATGAATGGTTGCTTCTTATAGAGCAGATTGACAGGGAAGGGGAACAAGAGAATTTTCTGGAGTAATGGAAACATCTGTGTTCTGGTATATATTTGTTAAAGGTAGTTGAATGCTAAACTTAAGATATACATTTCACTGTATGTAAATTATATCTCAATTTTTAAAAAGTACATTAAAACATATTCTGAGAAAGGGTCCATAGGCTTTACTGAATTTCCAAAGATATTTCTGGTAACAAAAATGGTTAATAACCTTTTCTTTTTCCTTTTTCTCACCTGAGGATATTTTTTCCATTGCTTTTTCAGGGAGAATAGAAGAGAGAGAGAGACATCGATGTGAGAGAGACACATTGATTGGTTGCCTCCAGCATGCACCCCAACCATGCCTGCAACCAAGGNACCTGAGGATATTTTTTCCATTGCTTTTTCAGGGAGAATAGAAGAGAGAGAGAGACATCGATGTGAGAGAGACACATTGATTGGTTGCCTCCAGCATGCACCCCAACCATGCCTGCAACCATTCCTTGACTGGAATCGAACCCGGGACCCTTTAGTCCTCGGACTGACGTCCTAACCACTGAGCAAAACTGACCAGGGCAAGAACCCTTTCTTGAGGCCATCATGTTATCTTTGCCTTTCTCCTTGAAGTGCCTTCTTTCTCATAGTTGCTTTTTCTATTCATTTCCTTTTTTTTCTAGAAGTATTCTCACTTTTTTGAGCTAAGGAAAGGAAGAAAGAAAAACAGCAGCTATAAAAGAAATTCTTTTCTTGGCTTATTTGCTAGTGGCTGATAAAGCTATAGTCCTCCTAACATAGTTATATACTTACTTAGACTTTAAGAAATTTCTAGCAAGAACTGCTCTTCTAAAAACTAATTTGTAAACAATTTCATAATGGAATGATTTTTCACATTTCCAGTTTCTCTTGGGATTTTAGTAGGATTTTTATCCCTCCGTCATTGAACATGCAGTTTTGTTATGAAGTAGTCGTGAACATTTATAACAAAAATTAGAAAAAAAATAAAATATACTTGGACTTAGAAAAGCATCAAAGAAATAAGGAAAGAAAAATTTATATTACTGACAGTGTATTCCAGAAATTCCATTTAGGTATCTTTGATACAGTGTGATTACAAATTCTAAGTCCAAATATGTTTTACTTTAAAATTCAAAATAGTACAAATATCAGATATTAGCTTATGTTTGTTTTAAATGTGATGATAGTGCTTAAAGATGTTAAACATAGTGGTAGAGTGATATACAGAACAAGCAGGCTTCCTTCTGGGAGCATACAATGTTAAGACTACTCATAATACAACTCTTGTTTTCTATCATCTTATGCATATAACTATTAATTTTACTCTACTGTTCTTATGTTTTCAGTCTTTTTATGTATCTAGATAAATTTATTAGGACACTTGTTTTAATAGATTACAAACTATTCTAAAAAAGCTTGAGCTAAGGTGAATAGTCCTGACAGGTGTTTACCTAGATGGCATCTGCATGTCTTTTATGACTTGTTATTAGATTTTAAAAATGTAAAATGCTGTTTGGCGGTTTCTTTGCAGCCTCTCGTGTGGAAACTTTGAAATGCAGAGGAGAAACAATAGCTAAGGAGATCAGTGAAGCCATGAAGGTAAAAGCTACATGCTAAAAATTATAAAATGAACAAAGTATGTAGATACATATTTGCTTTTAACAACCACATGTGTTTTAGGAACTCTTAGTAGTTTTAAAAATAGATCTTTAATGAATTAAGCAACAGTAACATTCAGAATAACTATCATTTATTAGGTATCTACTATGTGCCAGTATTATACCTGGCTTCTTCAAAGGTTGGTTATATTGAGTTCTGAGAGTTAGCAGTCCAACAAACAGTTCTGGATAATAATACCAGCTAACATTTAGTGAGCATTTAGTATGGATCAGGTACCATCTAACTGCTTTACATATGTTATATCACCTTATTTAATCCTTTCGAAAACCCTATGAGATAGGTACTACTATTTCCCTATTTTATAGATGAAGAAACTGAGGCACAGAGAGGCTAATTAGATTGCTTCTCAAATTAATAGCTCAGCCAGATTTAAACTCTGGTTGTTTGGCTCCAGAGCCTATACTGTATATAGCATATCAAGTTGGAGTCTTAATATTATTAAAATTATTTTTTTGCATTTATTTTACATAAAGAGAAAAACGTTTTATTTCTAGTACATGAAAATTACTTTTAAACTTCATAATCTCCCCTGTTCTTAAAATTTCCATAACATTCTTTTGTGGTTTGTATTGGTTCCATGATTTTCTGGTGCTCATGCTTCTCTCATAGCATGTTCCTGATCAAGAGTTGACAAACTGGTGCACGAGGCTAAAATCCAGCCTACCACCTGTTTTTGTGAATAAAACTTCATTGGAATAGAGCTGTGTCTTTTCACTTTACTCATTGTCTTGTCTGTGCCTTCTTTACATTATAGTGAAAGAGTTGAATAACTGTGACATAGATGTAAGGCCCTCATATGGTAAAATATTTACTATATGGCCCTTTACAAGAAAAATATTCTGTGCCCTGCTCCTGATTATTAAGACTTCTATAGTACTTACTGTCTTAAAATGTGGGATTTCAGACATTTAATCCTTAGCTCTGAAATTCTGTTACCTCCTGTTCTGCCAAAGTTTTATTTTACTACTAGGCATTTGTAGGAATAGAACATATCTTTTTAGTCTTAGCTTTTAGTTAAAATTCCTCTGCTAGCCCGGCTGGCCATAGCTCAGTGGTTGAACATCAACCTAGCAACATCCAGGAGATCACAATTCAATTCACAGTCAGGGCACATGCCCCGGCTTGCGGGCTCGATCCCCAGTCTGGGGCGTGCAGGAGGCAGCTGATCAATTACAACTTTCTCATCATTGATGTTTCTATCTCTTTCTCCCTCTCCCTTCCTCTCTCTGAAATCAGTAAAAATATACTTATATATATATTCCTCAGCTAAAACTGGTATTTTAAGGTAAAGTTGAATATTTACAACCCCAAAAATTAGGTCTTAGAAAAAGCCTTGACCTGAAGAATTAAAATTCTAGAGTGTTGTTTGTGTTTCAACATGAGATTAATGTTGAGTATTACTGTTTGTTTACTTTTTTTTAAGTCCTTGCCTGCATTAATTGAACAAGGAAATGGATTTTCCCAAGTCTTAAAGATGCAGCCTATTATTCAGCTCCAGAGAATCCACCAAGAAGTCTTTTCCAGTTGTAATAGGAAGCCAGATGTTAAACCTGAGAGCTTTATAACACAAATAGAAACGACACCAACAGAGACTTCTACCAGGAAAACCACTAACGTGGTACTGAAAAGAAAGCAAACTAAAGACTGCCCCCAGAGAAAATGGTATCCATTGCGGCCAAAGAGAATTAATCTTGATACATAAGCTGTTTTTGTTTATCTTGGGAGTTGAAATTAGGCACTGTCAACAGTTAGATTAAAGTGTAATGCCTAGACAGGACTTCATTTAAAACAAGTAACTCTTTAGTGATTTCTTTATACAGATGTAGTAGCTCTGTTCTGGGATATGATGTAATGTATTTCATCTAAACATTTCATCTCTAGTCTATGAAAAACATAGTTTTAAAATGTTGACACAAAGCCCATCAGTGAATATTAACAGTGCAATCTTTTACTGTCCTTAAATGCCATCTACTCTTGGCTGCCTTACAGCTTTTAAGGAATTTCATGAGTAATATTCTGTTGGGTTTCCTGGATGTTCTGCTTTCTTTAAAAAAGAGCTGTGTAACAGTTGTCTTTATTTAAGTGCTAACAGAACTCACCAGTTCTGCACAGGAACACATGCAGGGGTTTTTTTGTTTCTGTTTTTGAGTGTTTTTTGTTTTCAGTGCAGTTTTATCGAATTAATGTGCAAATGACAAGACTGGCTTTGACTTTGTCACTCCAGTTCAGCTAAAAAATTTAGATCTATGGGATTAATTTTAGGAGTTTATTCTTGTTTTGTGTTATAAGGCAACTATTATTTGTACAAAACTCTTAGAAACAAAAATTGGCACATAGTCAATATTTCTTGCCCACACTTTGTGTTCTATAGACCTTTTAACTTTTAAACATAATTTGACTTGGGAGTAATTTTTTATAGGATTTCTTATTATTTCTTTGTATATGACTCTAGTTCAAAAATATATATCAGAATAATACATTAACAAATTGTCATGTGGAACAAATACAGATTTAATCAAAGTGAACTATTTTATATTTAAGGATGTTTATATTTAAGGATATAATCATTGGTAGAAGTCTGAGAAAGCTATATTGCCCATACTTCAAACATAAAACTACAGTTTCTTATAGCTCTTACTGTGTCTCTTACTCACATTAATACAGTGTAGGAAGGGCCATCTAACTTGCCAACTGTTTCCCCTTTTAATGATTATACTTCATTCATTTGCAAAGGAATTTAATAATCATGAGGTTGGAAAATCTATACTTCTCGTGTTTATTATGTGTTAATCATAAATGTCAAAATGTGACGAAGTCTGTCTGTATTCAGAAAATTTACATAGCCACTTTATTGCATTCTGTATTTTAATGTTACAATTTGAGATCTGTATGTTTGTGCAGAGCAGTTTGTTTTTTATTAAAATAATGTGCAATGACTAAAGTCTTGATACTGTGTGTTTTTAAGAATTGTCTTAGGCATTCTTGAGCTCAGCTTTAGTTGAATGGTAGGTCAGCACCTTACATTTCAGAACATACTAAATTTCATTTTTAAATTGTTTGGAGGCTACAGGATATTGCTATTCTAAGGCAGTACTAACTTTTTATAGTATAAAATTTTGAGTGCATTATTTCACTCCAAAAGCTTGCGAACAAAAGAATTACTGTTAATTCTCCTAGTTTAGATAATTGCATTATGGTTATAAAAGAAAATGTTTCCCTCTTAAAAATGATGCATGTTGAGATACATATAGTTCAGTGGACTTGATGCCTGGGATTTGCTCTGAAATAATGTCAGCAAGGAAGAGGAAGTGGAGTAGCTTAAGCAGGCGTGGCAGAAATCCTGATAATGTCGGGTCTTTGTGAAAGGTATGTTCTTTCTATTTCTGTCTGTCTGGAAGTTTTTATAATAAGAAAAAAGTTTGTTTTGTTTGAGAACGCCCAGACAGACAGCTGAAACTCGAGGTCCCTCAGAAAGCACGAAGTTTCACCCCACAGTTCGAGCAGGCTTGCAAGTGAAGTACCATTGAGAAGGAAAATACATTAGTGTTATAAATAAGATAAACGTGGCTGGTGTCAGTAAGAAGACTGGGTAAGTACACATTTTTAGGATGATAATTGAGTTTCTGCATAGGCCAGGAATTAGCTAGCTAAGGTGATGAAAAGGAAGACAGTCTATAGTTGTAGGAAATGTTGACAGGGAAAAATAGAACAGCAAGTGTTGACCTCTCTGTGGTAAAAAGAAGGCTGGATTAAATGGAGCCATAGAATTTCATTTCAACAAAAAACCAACACAAACAAACAAGAAGCTCAAATCCAGTCCAAGGGAAAGAGAACACTGTTAAAGCAGCTGGTTCCTGAAATCAGTGAAGGAAAATAGGTGTTTTCCAGACTTCAGCCATTAGAAATAGTATTAGTCTGCTTGAGTGGCTATAACAAAACACCACAGACTGGGTGACCAAAACAACAGAAATTTGATTTCACAGTTCTAGAGGCTTGAAGTCCGTAATCAAGGTGTCGACAAATTCATTTCTGGTGAGGTGTCTCCTTGTTGGCAGGTTCTCGTGTCTCTTCTTAAAAGGACATTAATTGTATTGGATCAGGGACCCATCCATATAACCTCATTTAAACTTAGTTATTCCCTTAGAGGCCCCATCTCCAAATACAGCCATGCTGGGGATTAGGGTTTCAACATAGGAATTTGGAGGGGACGCAGACATTCAGTTCATAACACTAGACAACAGAAATCTTATCCTAGACCTCTTTCCCTGGTCTTTATGGCTTGGGCTTCATAGAGAAAAAACTTAATAAAATCAAACTTTTTAATTGCTTTAAAATGTAGCTGTCTCTAAGTTTGTTTGACTTCTGTTGAAGGCCTTGGCCCTTCATTTACTCATTCAACAAGTACATGTTAGGCACCTCTTCAGTACAGAAGTCAAAGAGGTCGAAAGCATAGTCTGGGCCGGATCATCTGGGTTCGGATACCTGCTCTAGTGGTATTAAATAGCATCGGGCAAGGTAGTTAACCTCTCTTCGCTGCAGTTTTCTTATGTGTAACGTGGGGATGATGATAATACCTACTTCAGGGTTATTATGAAAAGCAAATAAGTTCATAATAAAGCCTTTAGTACTTGGCACTTAGTGTTCATCGTGAGCATTCTCTAAAGCACTGTTTATTGGTTTGATAAAGGAAATGAAAACACTCAGGATGAACACTGTCTTTAAGAAGCTTGTATTCTAGTGAGAATGAGCATGTGAGCGATGATCATACAATGCAGGAAATACTCCATGGATGTATGCGAGGGGGACTTTAGGGAGAAATGTAAGTTTGCGGAGGAGGCGGTGGCAGTTGAGCAGTCTTGAATATTTTAGTCAAATAATCGAGGAAGATTACTGGCCATGTGAAGAGAATCTACCAAAGCAGGTGGTTGTGAGAGAGCATGATGTACTGAGGACCACCAGGTAAGTCTATATGTGGGTTTTGTCTAAAGAGACTTGCTGCAGGTGAACCTGAAGAGATAGGCAGGTCAATTCTTGAGAATTTTCACTTGGAAGTGCCTACAAGGAGCCATTAACTTGAACCAAGGAGGGGAAAGGAAGTAGAAATCCGTTGAACCCATTTTCATTCTGAGAGAATTGAAGACATGTTTATATGACAACTTGTACATGAATGTTTGCAGCAGTGACCCAAATGTCTATCAACTGAGGAATGGATAAATAAAATGTGATACATCCAATCAATGGAATATTACTTGTCAATAAGTACAGGACATGTTACAATGTGGATGAAACTTGAAAACATGCCAAGTGACAGAAGTCACAAAAGACTGTAGTCGTAGTGTGACTCCGTTTATATAAAATGTCCAGAATAGGCAAATTATAGAAACAGAAAACAGATTAGTGGTTGCCTAGGGCAGGAAGAAGGGAGAAGGTGGAAGGAATGGGGTGTGATTGCTAATGGGCGTGGGTTTTCTTTCAGGGGGCTGAACATGCTCTAAAATTGGTAGTGGTGATAGTTGTTTGGTGAATGAATATGCTAAACCCAATTGGACCATACACTTTAAATGGGCAAATTGTGTGCTATGTGGATTATATCTCAGTTTTAAAAGAGTAAAGAAATAGAAATAGTAGTAAACATTCCCAGATACCAAGACTCCAGATGAAAAAAACCCACTGAGTATTCAGCAAAAGACAAGAAACAAAACAACCCCCACCAAGGCATGTCACAGAAATGTTAAAGAGAAGTTCCTAAAAGCTTGCACAAGGGGAAAAAGATGATAAAGAAAGGGGAGTTGGAATGACTTCAAACTACTAAACAGCAATCCTGAATCTAGAAGTTTTTGGAGCAATACAATCCGGAAATTTTCAGTATAAGTGATTTGCAACCACAGACCCTATACCCAGCCTAGTTGTCAGCCAAGTGTGAGGTTAGCCAAAAGCCATTCTCAGACGTGCGAAATCTAAAAAGGAAAAAAACACTACCTTTAAAAGCGTTTTGTTTGAGGACACTACTAGGGGTGTGCTCTACTACAAAGGGTAAACCAAAACAGCAGCAGCCATGGGATCTAGAAAAGAGGCTCCAAGGTAGCAGCAAGCTCAAGTTCGCAGGACACCGTTCAGCAGATCTGGAGAAGAGTCCAGTCTGGCCAGGATGGAAAACAAATATGTGGGTCTCCAAAGAAGATATTTTCAGGAGAGGAAAATATAACTGACAACGTGAGTGATCGTTTTAACTACCTGGGAAATTGTCTAAGGGGGATACTTTATAGTATTCAGGTGTGCAAAGAAATGAATCAAAAAATCAGGCATTCACTGCAGTAAAAGCAAAAAGCTGTACAAGAAAAAAAATGTAATCATACTTAGAGATTGGCTCCAAAGAGAACAATGTTTATATAGACATCATAATGAACACCCCAGATACGAATTCAACAGAAAATAGGGACAGTTATATTGGGAAGGTAAGAGGACTGGGAATAAGCCATCAGTACACCACAGGCACTGGAGCAGGGTTCTGGAGGGCCCCCTTAGTGGCCGGGTCCTGGGAAGTCCAGGGTGTCCCAGGATAGGAACTGGGTGGGGCAAGCCTGGATGGGGCATTGAGGAAGCTTCTGCCCCAACCAGCGTAGAAGTTCATCTTGCTATGTGGAAACAACTCATATGGTTGTATGTGTAACCATCTGAATATCAACTTTGACATGGGAATGTCTGGGAGTGAAATCACAATGGAAAGTCAGTGCATAATCTCTAAAATTAGCTGAACCAAGAGATAGCACAATTTGGATATTATTCTGGTTAGAAAAAAACAGCTAAGAGAGTGGGTAATAGTTAACTTTGTGAATGAACCCAGGTAAGGGAACTAGGCCAAGGAACTGATTTTTTTGGTTGATATATGCCTTATAGATTTGATTCTTTAATTATGTGCATAAAATACTTGCATAAAAATAAATTTGATTTTTAAATGATTTTAAAACTAACACAAATACAAGTGAATATGAATTGTCTTTGCCACTATCTTCATATCATTGAGAATTAAGAAATAAATTATATGCCAGAGGCTTTCACAGGGTTTCCATTCCATTAGTTCAGTGTATTTCATATAAGACTTGTAGTCCCTGTTTTTAGCTGAGACGTTTAGTTTGGGTTTCTTTGGAGTTCTTTTGTAGTCCCTTCCCCTATTTGTTTTGCAAATAGATTCTATTATCAAGCCCCTGTGTACAAAAATGAAGAAAATATCTTTCTAGAGAAACACTGAAGGGTTTGTGGGGATTTTGTATGAAAGGATTTGGGGAAATCAATATTTATTTGAAGCTTCGGGGGTAAAGAGACCTCTCATATTCATTGCTGCATCTCTATGTTGCTTGAACCCAGTGGGCCCTTGACTAATAATTGAATGAATGGATGATTTTATATTGCAAATTTCTAACTAATCAGCTCCCCTAGATCACAATCTCAGGCATGAGTGACTCGGGGCATTCATGTTCATTATTAGTTCAGTTTAGGAGATGGGCTTACTCTTGCAGGGGGTAGGGGTGGGGGTGGGATTTAAAGAACTGAGGGCTAGGAAACTGCCTGAATTAGAATTCTTGTTTTCTGGCTGCTAGAGCTGAAGTCTAGACCCCAGAGCCCTGCCTGGTCAGATAAGAGGACGGCATTCACACCCCTCAGACTGACTCCACGAGGCTACAGATAGACCCGCCCTCTGGCCCTCTTTCCTCTGTCCTTTGGCTGTGTTGCCTTGACTTCTGGGTTGCCTGGGGGAGCAGAGAAGACCAGGCTCCTCAGGGTCCCCTGCTGCAGCTCATTTCTGCATGCGAAGGGTCAGGCCATCCCTTATCACCTCAACTAGCCTCGTTCAGAGAATGGCTCCCATGCCTCTGGGCTCACACCTTGTCCCGGATGTTAAAGCCTCCCTCGCTGCCCATGTGTGTGGCTCTGTGGCCTACT